GGTCAGGCAGGTATTGAAAATGAGCAATGCAGATCGCCTAAGACCACAGGGAGGGGGAAAACGGGAAAGCAGGCGGGAAAGGGCGCCCCCTGGCAGAGGGAGACGCTACTACTACTCATCTTTAGCTGTTATGTAGGAACGTGAGCTCAGTGTGTTCACGTTTCCAGTTGTTTTTTTTTTTTTTTTTAGATGTAGGAAGTCTGAATTTTTATGCGAAATCTTTCAATTCTTAAGTGTTGGCACAAAATTTTTCAGAAACACACGTGAGCCAAACTCAACACATCTGTGTGCCGAATTCAGCCATGGCCTCTAGGATGCAGCCTTTAGAGCAGACAATGTGTAACATCTTTTCCACCTTTGAAAGGATTTGGCCTGGTGGCAGACCAGCCCTTCAGTCTGGATGTTTTTGGCTCTCTGGACTATTTTTGCTACAGTTTAAGCAGGGTGGACCAGGGCTTAAGTGTAACCGTGTTTATAAACACCCTGAAGAATTCCATATGGTATGCCGAATGTGAAGTTGGCTTAATTTGAAAAGATTAAATGTACTCAGGCAATTGCAGAGTTGTCTGTTTTGCAAATCAATGCAATTTGTCGGTAGCAGTCCGGGAAGGGTTGAGCTTTGGAAAGCGCAGCTGGTGTGGCCAGCAAGCCCAGTGATAGCAGCACAGCAGGAAAAGCCAGTGTGGCAGCAGCTTTCTTCTCCAGCACGGACATCTCCTCTTTGCATGTACTACACACGCGCACACACCCACACACGCACACACACAGACACAGACACACCGCACTCGCACACACACACAAACACGCACGCACACACGCACGCACACACACACACACACACACACACACACACTCCTCTCATCTCCTTCCTGACGCCTGAGTCCGTTTACTGTTTTTACATTTGAATCATATCCAAATAAAAAAGGGTTCCCTTACACATATTCAAGGACAATGTGGAGAATGCTTAGCAATCTGGAACCAGGTGTCTCACCTGATCGCAGCAGCTTTGAGTCATGCAGAAGCCCTCAGTTAGGTACCTGAAAGCAGGATATGCAGACCCTCCTGTAGTATTAACTAATTGTGGGAGCTTGGACAATTATCTCCCCTCTTCGAGCCTCGGGTTCTTATCTGTGAAATAATGGGAATAACCTTGAATGTGTCTTAGATCTCCTCTAGCACTGACAATATTTGCCATCTTTCATTCCCCATGAGGCAGGCATGGGAAACCCCTCCTGTTCTCTCCCTTAATGTTGTTTCTGTTACAGACCATGGAGAGAAACTCACTGGTCTAGTGTCTCGGCATGTCGAGGACCATGGGTTTTTTTTTGTTTTTGGCGACTGAGTCTCGCTGTGTCGCCCAGGCTAGAGTGCAGAGTCATGATTTCAGCTTAGTGCAACTTCCGCCTCCTGGATTAGAGCAATTCTTCTGCCTCAGCCCCCCAAGTAGCTGGGATTATAGGCACATGCCGCCACGGCTGGCTAAGCTTTGTATTTTTAGTAGAGATGGGGTTTCATTATATTGGCCAGGCTGGTGTTGAACTCCTGACCTCATGATCTGCCTGCCTCAGCCTCCCAAAGAGCTGGGATTACTGGTGTGAGCGACTGTGTCCGGCTGACCATGGATTTGTATGGACGCGACCTTGAGCAGCTAGAAGAGGTGTTTGGCTTTTAACCTGTCATGTGAATGCAAGGTGGAGCGCGAGGCATCTATGGATCCCACATGATCCTGGCACAGAGGGTCCCTGGCCTTTCTCCCCTCTGCCATTTCTGGTACGGTTCAACAGTGCACAAGAGGGTCACAAAATCAGGTTCCTTGAGCAACACTTCTCAGCCTATAAGGAAGCCGCAAGACATAAAGGAGAAAAAGAAGAGGAAAATTGCATGGAAATCAGATTTTGAACACAAAGAACAGAAAAGCAACTCAAACCAGCTCAATCTTAAATATGGGGATACTTTAATGTCTCAAGAAGCCCAGAGTTATTCCAGCAGCTCTAGAAATGATCAAGTCAAACAGCTCATTGCTGTCATGGAAGACTCGTATCCCTTCTATTTCTCTACTTTGCAATAGGCCAGTTCCCCTCCTCGTAACAAAATGGCTGCCACTGTTCCAGGCATCACATCATTGCATACTTTTCTTTCATGTGTACCTTCTATAGAGTAAAGCTAATTTTCCAGTAAGCCCCTCAGAAGACTTCCTTAATGGCCAGAAATGAGTCACATGCTCATGCCTAAAACAATCATTAGCAAAGGAATGTAATTACTTGGGTTGATTTAGAGTCAAACAATGCAGATTCATGCAGAAGAAAGAGACTCTGCCTCCCCATGAGGTGTAGGAAACCTTGTATCTGAGCAAAATTAGGATTCTGAGTGCCAGGAAGAAAGGCAGGAAACAGGGCTGTCAGGAAGACCATGAGCAGTGTCTCTCCACCATCTGCCCACTCCTACTATATGATTGGTGAGGAAGGAAGGAGAGAAAAGGTAGAGGAAAAAGTGGGGAAGGAGAAAAGCAGGGAGGAGGAGAACTTCGATTTGCAGCTTTGGAATTGAACAGTCGTTGGTTTCAGTCCGAGCTTGGGGGTTTTCTAGCTGCCTGTTCGTGGCTCATCCCTGAGCTTGTCTAAGCTGGGTTTCCTCACTTGTAAAACGGAGAGAACATGGGCTTTTCGTGAGGTTACATGAGGAGATGAGCATAAGAAGCCAAGCACGGTGTTTTTCACAAAATGATGTTCAGTGAATGTTAGCAGGACGAGAAACAGCAGTGGGAGAGGAAGAAGAGTTTTTATGTAGAGCTTTACAGTTACAAGATGATGTCACAAATATTACCTCTTCGATTTGACACCATACCAGGAAGGCAGGCAAATGGGACATCTTTATCATCTTTTTAAAGGAATGTTGAAACTGTAAACCAGGGAACATATGTGTCTAGCCCAAGGTTGAAAATCTGGATGCGGGTCTTCAAAGTCCAAAGCTCCAGAAACACACAGAAAAAGTAGTTAAAAACAGAAAAGGATATTGAAAAAAATGCATATTATCATATTTGGAAAATATATTCTTGGCTGAGCACAGTGGCTCACACCTGTAATCCCAACTCTTTGGGAGGCTGAGACAGGCGGATCACAAGATGAGGAGATCGAGACCATCCTGGCAACATGGTGAAACCCCATGTCCAGTAAAATACAAAAAATTAGCCATGTGTGGTAGCAGGCACCTGTAGTCCCAGCTAGTCGGGAGGTTGAGGCAGGAGAATCGCTGGAACCCGGGAGGCGGAGGTTGCAGGGAGCTGAGATTATGCCGCTGCACTCCAGCCTGACAACAGAGGGAGATTCCATCTCAGAAAAAAACTAACCAAAAAACAAAAAATAACAACAACAACAACAACAAAAGAAAATACATTCTTATTGCAGCAGAGGGAGGGATTCCTACAATGAAAAATCTGCTTTTTAGAGATCACGCCACTCCCAAACCTCCATCTTCCTAAATGTCTAACCAGGACAATTAGATACAATTCCACAAGTATCTTCAGCATCGACTGTGTGTAAGGCAGGGTGTTTGATCCTCAGAGGATAGAGAGGTCGGTATAATACTCTGTACTCAAAGAGCTTACAGTGCAGAAAAAAAAGAAGAGGAATTTTATTGATAAATATTTTTTAAAATGCAATATATTTGAGTTGGTTCTCTTTTGCTTTCATTGCCAAGGGCGAATTAGATTTGGCGACTGTGGGGAGGCGGCTGCAATGAGGCTGGCTCAGATGCTCTCCAAGGTTCCTTCCGAAGAGAATATTCTTGAGGACAGGAAATCTGCTTTGCCAGAAAGGGCTTCTCTGAACTCTGCCAAGCCCTGACACCCTGGAGGATGTTGTAATCCTCCTGAGGCAGCCTCTGCCTCCCCTCGTCTTTACCAGCCTGGGCCAGGATGAAGTCAGAGAGCCCCAGACCAGCAGGGGTCCCAGCTGGAGTAAGTGAGTGGGTGAGGTCAGCTGGGTTGCTTCTGGTCTGGAGGTTTCCTGGGCAAGTGGGCCCGAGATCTCAGTGAGTCAGCCTCCCTTTCCAGACCGTCTGGGCATCCTAATGGGAAAAGGATTTCTAGTCACTTCTCAAAGGAGTCCTTAAGCATCTCAGAGGAACCCACTCCTTCTTGAAAAAAAAAAAGAAGTGTATTATTTAGAAAACATATTGTTGGCCAGGCGCTGTGGCTCACGCCTGTAATCCCAGCACTTTGGGAGGCTGAAGTGGGTGGATCATGAGGTCAAGAGATCGAGACCATCTTGGTCAACATGGTGAAAC